GAAACGTTGGCATTCCAAGAATGGATTTGAACACGGAGAAAACCCTCGAAACGCAAGATTGTCATATAGGAAACACCCGTGAAAGCCTCAAGAATATAATTATATTGAAAATTAATATTTGGTGATTTTTAGTAATTGAATGGTATAGGTCTTTTCAACTCACAAGTTTAATCCACTCTACCCCTATGCAAGAGTTTTATCGTTACTTATCAAACACCTTGTATAATTTAATACAGAAATATTCCTATATTTCTAATAGTAAGATATATGATAAATGTTAAAGAATAAGATAAATGTTATAGAAATCGTATTATATCGTTGACAATATAATGTGACATTTAGGTGATCGAATAATTATTTCACAGATTTCAACATACATAATGACGTCGAATAAATGGTCAATTGTCGACGTATTAGTAACATTATTAGTAATCAATTAATAACGTCATACATTTATTCCGTTAATAACACGAAAATAATGATATATTTTTTATGTCAGTTTATGATGTGTGAGAGAAGAGCTGTAAGAATTCACGTTATTTTTACGATGTTTAGACGTCAAGGAACTTATTATGATTCTTAAAATAATATGGAAATTACAAAAATAATTGAATTTACTAGAATATTTATAACTTCAATACCTAGTAAATTTATTTATTTTTGTAATTTTTTCACTTCGTCTCGGGAACCATATAAATTCGTAAAAATAACTACTAATTAATGACATCAAATGGAAGACACCTTGCTACCGTCAATAACACGAAAAAAATGACGTATTTTTTACGTCAACTTACGATGTTATGTACCTGTGACAAATTCACGTCATTTTTACGATGTTTAGACGTCATTTTAAACGTCACATTAGTCATAAAAATAACTATGATTTTTTCGTTGGTTGATAGAGCCTTTTTACTTTCAGACGTTTGTTTTCACAATAAAAACCTTAGATTCATCATTGAAACCTTACTCAACAATGATTATCCGATGGCATTTATATTTAACACTGTCAATCAAAGAATAA